ATAATAATAATAATAATAATAATAATAATACAAACAGTAAGAGCTAGTTAGATAACAAAAAAATAAATGAATAAATAAAAAAAATAAAAAAACATACAGAAAAATACTGATTTATCCAAGCTGGAGTCGCTCACAAAGATATCTACAACAGGTAAGACATTATTTGTTAATAAATCCTCCACAGAATCTCACTACTGTTTCAGATGATTTTGGGTTTAAATAAAAAAACATGAATAAAACAATTCTGCATCTTGCATGATCCCCCCAGCAGAGTGTAACAATCAACTTCATTCCTCAGCATTTATTTCCAGGGTTTCTGTGCCAAACCAGGGACATCCACTGATTTTATGCCTCAGCCTGAAGGCTTGAAAACCACAGCTATTGKTTTTGAACCCAGTCCCTGTGGTGCAGTGTTTGTTTATTTACATTTTTTAAGGTAGAGGAAGGAGTGTACAAAGACACAATTCATTCAATTTCCTCTCACTTAATCTTTGCAATCAAAAAATAAAAATATATTATTTCACATCATGAATCTCTTTTTCCTCTAAATACACACGTGTATGGTCTAGTATTATCTTCATGAGGGCTTTGTGTGGCTTCCAGTCATTTCTATAAACTTACCCCAATTGTACTTAACTACCCCCCTTACCTAAACTCAACTCACACCATAGTCCTAAACATCACCCCTAACTAACCGATGGCATTTCCCCTCATGGGGATGTCCCATAAGTAGAAGTTGGTCCCCACAAGTATATGTATTTTTGTCCCCTTATAGTAGGGAATTCCTGCCTGCACACACTATTATTACCTCTGCCAAGGAGGTTATGTTTTCGGTCACGTATGCCTGTCTGTGGACAAAATGACTCAACAACTTATGGATGGATTTTCATGAAATTTGTTTTACCACAGTTGGTTATTGGCCAAAGGAACACATCATAAAATTTTGGTGATGATCTGGATCACAATCTGAATCAAGACATTTTTTGAAGGATTCTTCACAATTGCAGGGTAGGGGAAACTGGTCTTGGTAGAGGTTTTCACTCTCCGGGTGCTTCTAGTTATTATTTATTTAGGTTTTTATTTGTATTTATTTATTTTATTTTATTTTATTTTTTATTTAGTTCTTTATTCATTTTACTGATTTGCAAATGTTTTAGTCTTGTGAATGTTCCAAATTCAAATTTCCATGTGCTGTTGTCATAACATTAGCATTATAGTTATATATTATACTATTTCATTCATTAATAGTTATGTAATTAACATTTGTTGTGTCTGTAGTATTTTCAAATATTTGGTTTTTATTTACAATAAAGTAGTTTTCAMGATTTATTTTAAACATGTAATGAAACACATTCTATTCTAAAAACTATTGATTTATTTTTTTGGCCAGGACTTTTTTTCTTTTCCTTTCTTTGCAGTATTTGCAATGCATTAATAAATAAATACATACATAAATAAAAGACTGCTGACCTTGCTTTGATTTAAAAAGCCTGTCTCTCATTACAGATTTGCTGGTTTTGGCTGAGTGCCCAATCCCTTTCCCCCTAAACCCCTCTCTTCCTCACGCTCATAAAAGTCCAAATCCAACAATTACTGAATCAAAAGCCGTGGGGTAGGTTCAGAGTAATCCATGCAGCTGGTGAAAACCTGCCTTCTCCCTGGCTCTTACTGCCTTCGTGTGGATTTCCTGCCTTTTTTATGCCTCTCCCATCCATCTTAGCTCCAGTGTGTTTCTTGCTATCTGCTGACCTGACCCTCACTCCCCGGCCTCCCCTGTTTTCAGGCCTCCTCCCTCACAGCCCCTCGTGTGTTTCTTCCTACATTCCAAGAATGTTTTTAATAAGAAATGAAAATCACAACTGTCAAAGCTGCCAGATGCTGTGGCTTCACCTCCCCTGCTTTCTCCTTTAAAAGTCTCAGCACGCTGTAATTCTTCACTTTCCTCCTCCTCATTCTTTAGGCTCCCATCCATAACTTCTCCTCTTTCTCCAAGCTGTGAGTTTTAAAACCTTCTCTTGTTTTTTTTTTTCTCAACTTGCCTGTCCATCTCAGATACTTTTGTTTTCACTTTCTTCCTCTCAGTCAGGTTCCCCCTTTCCCACCCATGGTTAGTCACGCTTAATGATAGCGACAGATAAAACTAATGGAAAAAAAAAAAAGAAAAAAAGAAGTACACATAGTTGAAGTCTATGTGAAGTGACCCACGCCCTGGCCTGTGAGACCGAGTTCTCTCCAAACAAACTGTTTCCCATAAATGACTGTGAGCCCTGCGAGGTCCCATGGATTCATTGTGTTTCTTCACCATTTCCTGAACTTGGGGACTTGTTCGCAAAATATATAAAGAAAAAAAAACTCACATTCCTAAATGGTTTCATCACTGGATTGTGAAGCAGGAGTTTGGGTTTAATTCCACAGTGAAACCAATGTAAACATTATTTAAGGAAATCCTATCATAAATACTTTATGACTGAACATAAAGTCAAAAGGAGGTATTTTTACAATGCTGATAACTGTTTGTATATATTCAGGAGTTCAGTGCCAAAAGAAATATTTTGGTTATGTGATTTGTGTATTTTTTCAGAGGATGTTGTGTTCCTGGATGATGAGGAGCAGAGGAAGGAGTATGTGCTGAATGACACGGGGAGGATTTACTACGGCACTGAGAAACAAATCGGTGCTCGCACGTGGAACTTTGGGCAGGTAGAGACTGGAGAACATACTGCTTCTGTTTCTGAATAATAATGACCTTCAGCCTGTGGCACGTCTCTCTGTACTCTCCTCTGTATAGACCTGGGAATATACAGCTAAATGTCAATGTCAAAGRAATGGTTTGTCGTTTGAAACTGGATTCTATTGACAGGTTAYGAACAATTAATATCTTACCTGTTGGAGACTGTTTAAACCAGRGGTTGTCAAACTGGGGTCTGAGAGCCGTGTCTTGGGGGCCCTCAAAAAATTTCATCCATCCATCCATCCATCCATCCATCCATCCATCCATCCATCCATCCATCCATCCATCCATCCATCCATCATCCATCCATCCATCATCCAT